ACCCGAACCCTGACCTCTGGGCTCCAAGTACATACACACATGTATGTGTAAGTACCTGTAAGTAGGAACAACAAACAAGAAAACAAGAGATACCGGTTATAGAGAAAAAAACTGGCACCCTTGTTCATTGCAGAACAGCACTGCTCAACTTGTAGGTCATGATCCCTTTGGGTGCTGAGTGATTGTTTCACAGGGGTCACCCAAGACCATCAGAAAATGCAGATATTTGTAGTATAGTTCATAGCAATAGAAAATTACATTTATGGAGTAGTAAAAGAGATAATTTTATGGTTGGAGGTCACCACAACATGAGGATACTGTGTTAAAGGGTCACAGCGCTAACAAGGTTGAGAACCACGGTTTTAGAAGGAAATGTAAATGTTATGACCACTGTAGATGCTAATATACCAGTTCCTAAAAACATGAAAATATAATGAACATATGATATAGCATTTCTATTTCTGGATATATGCTCCAATGAATTGAAAGCATGGTCTCAAAAGAACAATTATATACCAAGTTGGGAGATCAGAATTCATAATAGTTAAAATATAAAAGTAGCTCAAGTGTCCACAGCTGAATAGACCAGCAGAACGTAATCTATGTTCACAATGGGATATCATTTGGCCTTAGTGAGGGAGGAAATTCTAAAACATATTAAAACATGGAGAAATATTTGGAAATTATGTCAAGAGAAATAAGACAGTCACAAAAAGGTAAATGACACACAATTTATATAAAATATTAGTCACAATCATAGAGACAAAGGGTGGCATTTGGACTTTAGCAGCTAGAAAGAGAACGGGGAACTATCATTCAAGTGGTGCAGGGTTGGAGTTTTGGGAGGTGAGAGAGAATTTCTGAATGGTGGTGCCGATGAGGGCACAACAGCCTTAATACTAATGTAGCTGATGGCACTAAACTGTACCTCGAAGATGGTAATACTACATTATGTTATATTTATTTCAGCACAGCTTTTAAAAGTGGGAAAACCCCACATAAAGTAGTAGTACTCCATAGGATATCTGCAAAACTAAAAGATGAAGAAGTGAAATATTTATCCCATTTTAATTGTGAAAATAACAGAATAAATAAAGAAAATAACAATGTAATGCACAATTTAAGCATTAAACATGGCTGTATTAGAAATTAGGCTACACATATTCTAAAGGGTGCAACACAGAATTGAATGGGCCACTTTCTCTACAAAAATAGAGCTCCATGTAAAAGTCAATGAGTTAATAAAAATATGTCTTATGTTCTACTTATAAACAAAATTCAAATTCAAAATATAACTCATCATCTACTTTCCTATTTCCTGGCCTGAAATATTTTAAGACTAGAAAGGACCAACTTACCCAATTCACCCAATCTATTTATTTACCTACTTGCTCAAGAATGTAAGCAGTTGTGATATGCAATGGTTATTAACTGGCCCTCATGGTGGAGAAAGTGTTTGTGATAATAAAAAAATTGGTGTCTTCTTATACTCTTAAGGTATTTCTATCAAGAGTTAAAATGGTACCCTCATCCTGTTGTTATCCTTAGCTGTCTCGAGAAAGACTCTCAATCTGCAGCAAATTTTTACATGGGATTCTCAATTGTAAAGAGATTTTTAAAAGGAAAAGAAATACAAAACCACTGCAGTAATGTATGAAAACTGCATATAGTTGGGGATGAAGGGAGGGAGGGAAGAAGGGAGGGAAGGAGGAAGGGAAGGAGGGAGGGAAGGAGTGAGGGAAGGAGGGAGACCTGCCTTTCAGATGCTAGCAAACAGACTTGAACTAAAGGATCAGTTTAAACAGACATGTGCTCCGTGAGCCTGTGCCAGACAGAAAGCCCAGTCACCAGGAAGCAGGACAAGATATTGGTGGATTGTGGCTTCTCCCCTAATGCAACTGCATAGACTCTAAATAGTATTTTCACTTTGACCATCCCAAGAAATCCCCCACTAGGTGTGGTGAGATGAACAGCAAGAGTGAGCTGGCCAAGATGACACACTGACAAATCAGATGTTTCTATAAAAAAAATTGTCATCAACAAATTTATTTCAGAATAAGAGCTCACATTCTTCATCATAAGAAAATGGGTTTTTATCTCTGTGAGTTTGAGGTTAGCCTGGTCTGCAAGAGCTAGTTCCAGGATAGGCTCCAAAGCTACAGACAAACCCTGTCTCAACCCCCGCCCCTCAAAAAAAGAAAGAAAATGGGTTTTTTGGTGGTCATGTGACATCTGGCATATCGTGACATCTTTTTGGTAATCTCCCTGAGGTTAGGAACTGCACCTTGGTCTCTGAAGCATCATTTACGTTGAAGGAACTGACTGAACAAGCACAATTTTTACCTAAAAGCTCTTAGGTTAAGCTACTGGTCAGGCTGGATAAGCAACTTTCCCTGCCACAGAGCCATGACAAGCCGATTTATTTGTCCACTCCATCACCCAGAGCAGTCAGATGTGCTCCTACCCTTCCTTCCCCTCCCGCCTTCTCCAGACAGCAGCTAATGGCGTTTGCTTTTAGTTTAGTGCCAAGAAAAGACCGGTGTTGGCGTGTGTTGACACTGAACGCCGAATTCCATTAAGGTAACAGTGCTGAGAAAGTCCCCATAATTTTTTTTTTTTAAAGACTGTTTTCTTCTCCCCGGAAGGGGTTTATTTCCTGTTTTCTGTTCCTACATAGTTTATGCTTCCAAGGCATCTGAACACAGTTCTGTGAGGAGAAAGAGGTCTGCTGTGAGCTGGTTTTCACCATTCTATGCTCTGGAGGACGGATGGCAGCCCGTAAGGTACCAGCGTCTCTGGAGACACTGGGCAGCCAGATCTTTGTCTAGGTTTCCTGATAACTACATCTCTCCCTTTCCCCTTTCTCCCTTGCTAGTCTGCCGTCCCCTTTATTCCTTTTGTCACACACACTGCAGATTTGGGCTCACTCAATCAAGGCTTTGCTATCGACTTCCCAGAATATGGTCTTAAAGAAAAAAAAAAAAAAGGTTGGATTTTTAATGTTCCATCAATGAGCACAAAATCAGCAGTGCTTTTAGCACGCATTTTCGTGGCAAAAAAAAAATGCGCCACGTTATTTACTAAGCCATTCTCAAATTCCACTTAGACACCAGGCCTATGCCTAAAGCCTCAAGAAACGGACTGGTGTTAAAGAACCTGATGAACTCAAACTCGGAAGCTTTCGCTTGAAACTTGTGGTGAGCCTTAGGCCTTTTGAAGCTCTCTAAGATAAAATGAGTTGGCTCTGAGATACTGGCTCTCACTAAGAATTAAACTAAAAAAAAAAAAAAAAAAAAAATGAATTGATACATCTTTAGTCACTTTGGAAATATTTAGAAAGCAAAGTTAACAAAAATTGTACTCAATGGTATTGCATAATCTTAGTTTTTATATTTAAAAAAAAAAAAAAAAAAAAAAAAAAAAAAAAAACTTTAAAAAAATTCTGTAGTCAAGCAGGAAGGAAAGGAGTCCGGCGGGAGAAAGGAATATCAGGGCATCCCTCTGAGACTTAAAAGATGCCTCATCTCTGGGTACCCAGGGGAGCCCTGGAACCTTCCCAGGGCTCTCACTGTGGCGCACTGCGGAGCCCTTCGCCTGCCAGCAGCCTCTGTCCTGCCTGGCTTTCTCTGCCGCCCCTGCCGCAGTCTATCCTCCCACCCTGGTCCCCCAGTCTGCTGCTTTCTGCACAGGGCGCGCCGCGGGGCATCCATCACTCCGGAGCCTTTGACGCACACACGCACTCCCAGACAGACTGGGTCTCCTAGCCCTCCCTCCCGCTGCGCCCGCCCCATCTCGGGGCAGCATTTACATCACGCCCACACGTAGAGGGTGACGCGAGCGCCCCCCACCCTCGCTCTCGTAGTCCAGGCGGTACCTCCAGAGCTGGTGACTCAGCTCCTCCCTCTCCGCCCCCGCGCGTGGCGCCTGAGGTTCCCGCACGCCCACGGAGATGTTCTTTGCATCTGTGATGGGGTGCTGGCTGCCCGAGTCAAGTTCATTCCGGTATTCTATAATCTTCCCGGGTCAGTCAGAGGAGTCCTAGCTACGCGGGAGAAAGTACTCCCAATTTAGACCCAGTTTGAAGGGGGAAAGTCCACCAAGAGAAAATGGTGGGCTGTCGCCCCATTTTCCTGTTGGCTTTAAATCAAGAGACCTCGGTAGTAGAAGTTGTTGCTGTCGTCATCATCATCATCATCATCACCATCATCATCACCATCATTTTTATTGGGGACGTTCCTTCTCCCAAGAACCTCTCACTCTTAGATGCGCTTTGCTGCGCCAGGCGCATAGTGGACGCTCCATAGCGTTTTGCTGAATGGAGGTGCAGTGTTAAGAAGTGGGGATTCTTACAAAGGGCCACAGCCCGCATACTTCCCTGCTCTCAGCCTTTTGGTGCGGGCGTACAGATGCTATTCGCGGGTTTGGGGGGATTTGTGGAAGAGTTTGAACATTCACGGGGTTTCTATTAGCCTCCCGTAGAGTCGACCGCGACTCCCCATGCTTTCCCGTCACCCGCACATCTGCAGAGGGATCCCCGCAGAAAAGTTGAGGCTGCAGTGATGGCTTGGTGATGGCGGGCACTCCTGTCTACCAGATTTGAATAGTCTCTCCTGGCCCTCCTGAAGCCCCCTTCTCCCCCACCCTGCAGTAAAGAAACCTGGAGACGCCTGCAGGAGCAACCCTGAACGCCTGCTGCTGCCCACCCACCTGCCCCGGAATCCCAAGCATAGCGCGCCTTTGACTTGCCACAGCCCAGTAAACCTGGGGTCGTTCTGCTGCCTCCGTGAGATTTCCCTCTCCCCATCCAAACACAGGGGCCAGCGAGCAGCCTTCCCCACCTGCAGCCGCTTTCCTGGGGCCAGAGCCGGCAAAGTTGAGCTAGTTGCGCTTCTGCAAGGCTGCAAAAAGTTCCCTGACTGCAACCCTCGGTTTCCCGGTCCAGAAGGGGAGTCTGGCAGAGAATGATTTTTCGCCAAGATTGCGGGGGCCTCCTTACTCACCGTTTCAGCTGCTGGAGTCCCCCTGCCCTGAGCCGTGTCTGCAATGCAGCCGTCGCCGCGCGGGCACCCCTTCACTTGCTGCCCGGAGCCGCCTTGGTCTGCCACTCTCTCCTGCAGCGCGCTCAGTGGTGACTCCTTTGAACGAGGCAGCGAAGAGAGGAGGGGCGGGAAAGTGGCTCCGGGCTGCCACGCTGCGGTCCTCCTCCGCCTCCTCCTCCCCTTGATGCTGCAGTGGCGGGCGGCGGCGTGGCGAGAGTACAAGCGACGCGCTGGGAGGGAGTTACGGCGCGCGGGGGAGGAGAGCGTTGTGCAAGGCTGGGCGAGCTCCTGGTGTGATGCGGAGGCGCCGCTGAGGTGCGGGTCCCGGGAAGGAGGTGCGGACTTTTGGAGAAGTCTGTAGCCCAGGAAAAGAGAAAGGCGCCAGTGCTGAACTAGTCACCGGGTGTGACTGTGCCTTGCGCACTTGGCCGCCCTTTGGGCCGGGCCCCCGGAAGGCACAAGGAAATTGTTGATCATTGGAAGCCAGTGCTCAGAGAGCAAGGCTTTTGGTCGGTTTCTGGACCTGGAGCTGGTCAGTTTTGACTTGACTTTCAGGAAGTAAGTAGGCAGGAGCTTATCATTCCCCTACCTCGGTCTCCATGCTGGTAGACAGTCGAGAAGAAACTTGGGGCATAGTAGAAGCAACTTCGCGCGCGGGGTGTGTATGTGTGTTCCCAACCAGGAAGGACCAGGCAGCAAAACTGGGGGAATTGACTAATATTAAAAGAGAAAGCCGCGAGAATGTTGCTGTGTTCCCAGGAATGCCTTTTCCTGCAGAGGGTAAGAAACCCCAACCTCAGCCTCACCTAAGTTCTGGGGCTGGACCACTAACTGAAATTCATCTTCGAGGCCACACCCAAGCACCTACTCTGCCTTGGCATGGCAGGGCGTCGCCCTCCTATCACCCCCCCCCCATCCTCGACCACCGGAAGGGACGCAGTGAGAAGCAGGACATCCTTAAATAGGAGACCCTGCTTCTCTGCGCTCACAAGGAACTCACAGGCTTTGAAAGGGCCCTGGGGGCAAGTGCCCACTGCGCAATCATCTCTCTTGTAATGGTGACTCGGGGTGAGAGACAAAGCGCGGCGCCATTGGAGGCTGCAGTGGGTGGAACTCGCAGGCACAACCGCTCCTGCAATGTACTTTATGCGAGTAAACAGCCTGCATGTTTGAATGGTGGCGGGGGGGGGGGCGGGGGTAAAAGCTTGGCGGTGCGGACACATATGTAAACATTGTATGTAAGTGTGCTGGAGAAGAACAGTCAGGCTTTGCTGAGAGCCATAGACGCCGGAAGGGACCACGTGGCCGGCCAGTGACAGTGATATGCAGGGCTACATGTGTGCCACCATTCAGGATGCAATGAAGAGAATGTGCCCAGTCCTCAACCTCTGGCTGCCCCTCCTTGCAACTCTGGAATTCTGAGACTCGGGATTCTCAGGTCCCATTGAATTTGTTAAGAATATACAGGGAGGATGTCCACCTGAGTGGGTTAATGTTTATGCCGTCCAATCATCTCGCAGCACCACCGTAAATTGTGGCAAACAGCAAAACATTTAACCAAAACAAGAGCCAGACAGGCTTTCAAAGACCACCCCAAGAAGTGTTTTTCTAAATGGTAACATTCTAATGATCTTTTCTCAAATACTTACCCTCCTGTTCTCTTAAGATAAGCATGAGTGTTGGCTGAGGTGGGTCACACCTTTAATCTCAGCACTGGGGAGGTAGAGCCTGGTGGTGGATCTCTGTGATTTAAAGGCTGCCTGCTCACATTGCAAGTTCAAGGCCAACTAAGAGTACATAGTGAGACTCTGTCTCAAGACAAACAAACAAACAAAAAACAAAAACAACATCAATAAAGAAACTGTGAGAACAATATGATTGGTAACATTTTCGAGAGAAGAATAGAAGACAAAGTCCAGGACTGGAAAAATCAAATCTAATGGTGGAAGCACCGTCCACTCTTCAACACAGCAACTTAGCACCGCCAACTCGTGAAAAGAAAGTGTCTGTTTGCCTCTCAGCCTTTGAGGTTCCAGCCTCTGATACACTATACTGGTTTTGGGTCGTCAAATAGTGGGAGCATGGGAGCACCTACATCACCATGATCCAGGGAGCAAAGTGAACAAGGCCTAGTCCAGGGCCCTTCAGGCCATTCTCTGTCGCCCAGTGACTTCTCACTTGGTCCAATAGGGCTACCTTCTAGAACAGTCCTTTAACACGTGCGCCTTTGAGGGACATGCGAGATCCAAACAATGCGACTCCCCCAAAGGTTTGCACTATGATTCTGAGGGAACACAGGGATAAATCTCACTTACCATCCGTGGCAGGGGACTGCTGAAGATGTTGCTATAGCTTAAATGAATCAAGAGAATGTAGACATGGAGGAGGGATAAACACACTTGTTTAACAAATTTTAGGTAAAGCATGCTGTAGATATTTGCATCCCCAAACTTTGTTATTTTGCATAACTGATTTAAAACAGACGCACAATTATGACACCAGTTTACTATATGACTGGTAGGCATGCAAATTGCGTCCCCCAGTAGCAACGGGATAGAAATCCTTTCCGGAGGATCCTCTTACATTCTAGAAACCAAAAACTTCCCCCCACAAAAAGTGGGATAGCAATGAGCACATGATAATGAGCACACAGACTGTAAGGATGTCCCCGTGAAGGAGCACTCGTTACACCGCAGAAGAATCTGTAGACTGCTCACACATCTTCTATTACCTGAAGGAGAAAAAAAAAGGGTTTAAAGCCTGGACAGGGAATAGGAAACGGCAAGGAAAGACCAATCACGCTTGAACAGGCACTCAACCTCTGTCACCTCTACTGTTCGTCCTCCCAGCACCCATCCGAGGGTCCTCACATATAAACACACCCTACACTCTCCTGATTGTATTGAGGGAGTCTCCAGCTTAAAAATGTGGTGTCCTTTCCTTTATTTGGCAATACAGCCCCATGCAGAATGCTAAAATAATTTTTCTCCCTACTTTACAGAAGAGCTTGGAACATCATGGATACGTGACTCCAGAAACATGGCACAACAAAACAGAACTTCCAGATAGATGCAGAACTGCTGGCTTGTTTTAGGATTTAGTGATTCAACGGTGGAAATCAAGAAGGGAAAGAATGTGAACATTATTTTATATGACCGATTAAAATAAAGACTAATAAATGCAATTTTAATGTGTGTTACCCAAAAGAGGCAGTGTCTTGACTTGGAAAGGTAGTTGATATGTCCCAAGGATTTGGAACTTCTATGATTTTAGGGTCAGAAATCGTCCCTTTCTGTCAGACATGAGTCTACTCATTTCTTTTGCTCAATAGCAAGGTCCTTTAAAAATTGTAACAAAATTAAAGAGCACTAAATCCCTGCAAAATGGAAACACTGTTCTGTGACTTTTCAGGGGAGATGTGACTATCTATCCCTCCGCTCAAGGTAGAGCACCAACTATAGACCAAAGATGCTCTCACTGAAGTCTGGTGTAATGATCCAGTGAGGTTCTGAGGTTCACCTGCAGGGGTGAGGATGATTCAAAGCAGCTGAATCATGCAAAGCCCACCTTAGCACACACGATGCCCAAAGAAAGCTGCATCCCTAAAGTTCCCTGCACACCTCGCAGGCAGCTCTGTAAGTGAAAACTCTGGCTCCAGAAGTTATGTCAGCTTAAGTAATTCCAGGTGGAGTTTCGTGAAACTTAGAACCCTGTGAGCTTCCCGTGGCTCTTAAATTCCAGTAACATGCTGAGCTTTTCAATGCTCTCACGTTTCACTAGGAGAGAGTGTTTCAATTAGGAGGAAATAGCTATGCCACACAAATGCTGTCTTTGGGACCTTCTACATATCCTTCCTGGCGAAACTAATCATTTCTTTCAAAGTTTCACAGATTCAAGTACAGATATGTTGCTTGCTGGACCAGGGGGAATATCCTTATAATGGCGCCCTGATAACATCAGCCATCTGCCAAACACAAGTTTCCCCTTGGCAGAAGGCTTCCCTTGCTCTTTCTTGGTTTCCCCAGTGTAACCCCAGACTCTACTGCCATCTTCCTCCTATCATATATATTCCAGAAATACTGGCCCAAGGTGGGACTCCCACGGCAAACTAAGATCTACTCTGGTTATGAGCTTTAGAAAGTAGCCTCATTCTCTCTCTCTCTCTCTCTCTCTCTCTCTCTCTCTCTCTCTCTCTCTCTCTCCCTCCCCCCCCCCATTTGACACTGGATTGTGGAGGGATATTTGCCCAGGCAAAAGGGTCTGGGGGCCTACAGGCCCCTGCTGGCCTGAGCCAAGCTAATCCGACTATCTGAGCATTCTGAGTATGCAGTATCTAACTTCCCCAGATTGAGCCAAACTAGTTCTGCCAAGGGGCCCCAGCAACAGCCGTGGTAAATGACATTAAGGTGCTTACATTTCTGGTCACAGAGGCATCTACGTGAGAACATGGTCTGGAGACCCTTCGTGACCGCTCAGAAACCACAGAAGAGATTAGTCTAATTACAAAACACACAGAAGTGGCAAAGCCAAGTAATTTCAAAGAAATCAAGTCAGAAATGGTGTCTCGCAGCCAGGACAGCCTTCCTTCCATTGTGGGCCATGCACTGCTTTCTTTTCAAAGAATCCATCTTAAGTTAGAGTCACTTGTTCCTAACTAGAAGCATTCTTATAAGCACACTTCCCATATACTCCCAAATAAAAGTACCTAGTCCTAGCACAGCTTGGAAGTGCCTACAAATTTGAGGTGAACTCTATGCAAAGTTCACTTCTGTTGGGAAAACAAGAAAGATGTGTCCATCTGTCATATCCCAGTGTCTAGCACAGTTCCTGGATCATGGAAGGCATTTGGAAATAACAGCTTACAGCCAACATGGCCTCGGGATCTTAGCTAGCAAAAGGGAACCTTTAGAAGTCCAGATGGAAGGCTGGAACTGAGAAACACTGGCTCAGTGAACATTCAACTTCTGGGAGAATCTTTCTGCTTAAATGGACAAGGAAAAAAGCTTCCCCAGACAGATTCAGGGGAATCTAGGAGGCCTCAAGCCAAATGGGTAGCTCCAGGGGGGCGGGGGGGAAGGCACATGTCACTTAGCACTCTTGCTGGGGTGGAAATGAGGTGGAGAAAACGCCCACGAGAGATTCTCTTCAGTATA